CTACCTACCTGCCTACCTCCAACCTCCCTGCCTACCTACCTGCCTACCTACCTACCTACCCACCTACCTACCTACCTACCTACCTACCTACCTACCTACCTACCTACCTACCTACTCCTACCTACCGACCTACTTACCGACCTACAGACCCACCGACCCACCCACGCCCCGACCGACCTACCGATCTACCGACCGACCTACCTGCTTACCTACTTACCGACCTACCTACCTGCCTGCCTGCCTGCCTGCCTGCCTGCCTGCCTACCTACCTACCTACCTTCCTCCCTGTGCCGCAAACTGATCGACAGTTGCATGAACACTCCGCGTTTTAAGCACATTGATTTGGCGGTGGAAGGCAGAGTCTGGCGAGTAGACGGCATGCATGTTGGCAGCAGGAGATGCAGCATGAAAACGTGGCGTCACTCGGCCATCAAGAGGCATGCGGCTTGCTTTGCTGCACTGTTCGTGCGTGTGCACATGTGTGCTTCTTGGGCTCTTGAATTCTTCAAGCTGCATCATGTGTTTTGCATCGGCGACAGGCTTTGAAGGGTCTTGGTGATCAGATCGAGGAGGACGGACAGAACGCTGTTTGACAATAGAACTTGATGCCCCAGCTGCGGCAATAAGATAGGAGTTGTTGGTCATGCTTTGTCAAAGCGCGGTTAAAAGGAGAGACGGCGGTACCGCAGTCTTCAGATGAACCACATTGACCTCAAGGCTTGCGCCGGAGTCCCGTGATAGTTGGCATGTCTCGGCCATGCATGTAGGCCGAGCTCGACCAAGCGCAGCACTCATCGGCCAAAGTCGAGACATCGCCTACTCCTCGTGGGTTCCAACTACTCGCTTCATGTTTGTTCCCGCCGCAGAGCAAGCCAATCGGCTTCTGGTGCTTGCACACCCAGGAGCTGGAAGCGCACTGCCATGATGGCCAAGCTCACGCGGCCCCATGCCCAGCGGGAGTTACAAACTGTGCTACCAGAAAGAAGGAGATGGCTTCAATCAACCAAGGTTGCAGGAGAAGGTTCACTGCAAGGGCCTCGCACCATCTCGTACCCGTGTTGTTTCCTCAAGCACGCTTCAATTGGATTTCCACGAGCCTCCAGTCGCAAGGCGATCGGACGAAGCTGGCCGACTCCAGGCGCAATTTCGAAGTCGAAGAGGCCCAGTTGTGCTCCGCTTCTGAACCAAACTCCTTGTGTGTCCTGCGTACCTCAAGGCCTGTGCTGCAAGCCTACGACAGGAGCTGGAGGAAGCCGAGGAAGCAAGCAAAACGACGTTTCCTTCTTTTTGGTTTGGACATTCGTGTCACGTGTAGGATCTTCTCTCGCACAGAGACCTTGACCTTTCGGGCTGCGAAGAAAGCTTCTCCGCGACAGAGGTGCTTGTGACAGTGTCAACGGCCTGCATTAGTGCGCAAATCCTGCAAGCGCAGCTTCTTGTCAGGGCATCCTGCATCAAGCAGAATCTGAGCTCGATAGCTGCACAAACGAGCTGAAGGCCGTGCACGCCTCGCTGTAGGATCTTTCACGACTGGGATCAGTGCAGGCGATGACTTCCGAAGACCTGGACAGTCTCCGTCTGGAGTCGGGGGCCCAACGCTCAAAGCTCTTCTTCCCAAAGCTCGACGGTGGACGTGGAATAAGGATCGAACGGAAGCGGCAGGCGCTGGCACGTGCGGAGCAGGGCAGTGCACTCCGCTCAGCTGCAGATTGGACGCACCAGTGTTGCGTTTCTTTCCACTTCACTCCCTCAACACAGGCTGATGCCGTTGCCCAGCGCTCGGCCATCGGTCAGCAGATGCCGGAGGTGAGCGCTATGCTCGAGGCCTGGTGCTCAGTGATGAACCGCCGGCTTTCAGCAATCTCACAGCTTTGCCTGGGCTCCGATATGTTCCGATAAAGCTGACCGCACGGTCAAGACCTCTCGGTATGCGCAGGTCTGACTGATATCAATAAGACTTAGCACATCTTAGAACCAAGGTTCAGCAGTTGCTGTTGAAGTTCCAAATCCCTGTCTCCAAGACCATAGATTCCTTAGCGGCCTTAGCGCGTCAGTCTTCACCATCAAACACGAGGATCCGCCTGTTTTAGAGCTTTCTTGCATTGCTGACAAGTTAGTGAGCTTGCATTGCATTGACATGCTGGCGCAGCCAACAGCTGCTTTGCAAGTGGACCATGAAAAGAGGAACGGGATGGCGGACGTAAGTCGACATCTCGGTGTGCCTTCGTACTCTCGCTTCGTGAGTTCCGAGGACCGGCGCCTGGCCGCAGAGAGGGCTGCAGATGAAGCCGTAGCTGCTGGTGGGGCTGTGTCGAGCCTCGACTGTGCACAGCCATGGTTCGCAGTTTGTGAGAGTGAGGGAACCTCTAACCAAGTAAGTAGCATCATCATTGATGGGTTTTGTCTGATCAACAACAAGGGTTTGGGTTTGCTAGGTTTCAAGCTACCCGATCTGAACCCTGCCATTTACGAACGATGCTTGAAGCAGCTCTTCACAATTCTTTCAATCAGGACAGCTATGCAGAAGCTGAATTCCCTGAGTGGCGGACCCTGACTTCGTAGACTGCTGCCTGTGTGCAGCTGCACGATTGAGTTTGGATGCCCCTCTGGTGAAAGGCGATGAAGCAACAGCTGCTGCACAGGGCCTAGCAGGACCGGGCAGTCATGTGCACCGCACCGTGCATCGACACCTCGACAGCATGGCAGATCTGGCGACTCGACAGCCACGCGCCTCCCTTTCTCTCACAGGTCCGTTTTTCGTGCCGTGGCCGGTCCCTGCGTTGCTTCTCTCGCTGCACTCGCTGCGAGGTGCTGCGGCCACTTCTTTGGCTGCTGATGCAGACCGGCTTCAGAGTCTCAGTGACGAGCTTGGCGCCGCCAAGGCTTGGAGTGCCTGGCCTTTGCCCGCTCGTTTCCGTTTTACGGGTCAGCTCTGGGGAGTTTGGAGGCGGAAAGCACGGAAGCAGAGTCTCAGTCCTTGGACCTAGGCCGGATTGGAAAGTTGTGAGATGAAGGGTTGCTCCATGTCGCTCCTGCTTCTGCTTTTGCAGTATGTGATAGTGTGTGCAGTTTGCCACGAGGCCAGCAGGTTCAAGAAGTGAAGTCGGCGAAGGCCAAGGCTTGGATGGTGCTCCAGCAGCTGCCGGCAGCCGAGCCATTCGATATGCAGCTTGAAGCTTTGGCTTAGGGTCAGCTGGAGGCACAATTGAGGGCAGCACTGAGACCTACGAAAGGGGAGCCAGGTTTCGACAATGCACAAACGATCAACCTGGCTTGGCCTCTTAGTTCAGCCGCAGGCCATAAGAGGTATGGACGGGCGCAGGCATGGGTGGGCGAGGAGGCACCCGAACGAGGCCTTGGTGTTTGATGTGTTTAGCTGTTCACAGCCTTCAAGGCTCCGCACTTCCGAAAGCCATGCCTAACCTGAAATCAAAGTGCTGAAGTTGCAGCTGTTCTGTAAACTGTAAAGTCGGATTCATGGCAGGATTTGCCAAGCAGGCGATGAATTCCTTGTCGCGCTTTCGGTTCTGTGCTGGGATTAATCGCCTCCAACCGCGACGCATCTCATCCCACCGCAACTAATAAGTCAAATTTCCATTCAGAAAACTGGGCCGGGCCGAACCCAGGCGCAAGCAGCACGAAGCTGACGAAGAACAGGCATTTTGGACCGATTCCGAGATTGGTTGAAATGTCTCAGTTCAACCTGGCAAGGCCGCTCCTAGCAGTGAGGATGTTGGCTTGCAGGCACGGCAGCGCCTGGACTTCCATCGGTTTATGCACCAACCCAGAACTGCTACAGTGGTAAGTCTGAGTTTGCTTAACGGATGATTCTGGTTTGTGCACAATTTCCGATCGTGTTTCGTTGTCGTGCGAAACTTGTGAAGCTTACGTAACGAGAACTGTCGCTTGCGAGGGTCGAAGTGTTCGCTGTGAATGCAGCAGAGGCCCGAGTGCACAGTTCGAGTGTGGCTTTTTCGTTTCTTCGGAAGCACTTGAGCCATGGCCGGTTCATGGGGCGGAGATGCAAGCACCCCCCCGATCTTTGGGCCAGTCTCCACACGGTGGTGCACGCTGAGTTCGCCGAGCTGGAGCCTTTGCTTGAGCGATTCGAGTTGGCGCGACTGGTCGCCTTCCAAAAGATGCTCCGGAAAAGTATGACAAGGCACTTCAATGCTTCGATTGACCATGAGCCTGCGCCGGTTGGCCGTCCTGTCTCAACATCGAGTTCGGCACCTCCGGTTGCTGGTACAAGCGGGGCAGGCGCCATGCTGCTTCGACTCCGGCGAGTTCGGGAACTTCTCCTGGTGGTGGCGCAGGGCAGCCGGCTAAGGCCCGACAGAGTTTGCAGCCGCAGGCCGCTACTACTTCAACTCCGGCGATGGTGCAGGAGGGCCGGCCAAGGCCCCGCAAAGTTCGTCGTAGAAGGCGGCCAAGAAGACAAATGCCGGGCAGGGATAGCGAAGCCTTTGCAGCTGCCCCCGTCCGCGGCAAAGCAGCTGGGCAAGGCGAACTCCCGCCCTGCCTGCGGTCGGGCCTACGAGCACGACAGCGACTGCCAAGGCCAAGGCGTCGTCAAGCCGACCGAAGTCATTACCAACGCCTGCAGACAGCCAATGTGGACCCCAGCCGCCGGCGCAGCAGGTCTCAGGAGGTCTTGGTCGCCAGCCCCGTCGTTCACGCCGAAGCAGATGCAATGCTCGACGGCGAGTTGGTTTTCCTGGCTGGCGAAGACGCGATCGGTATGTTGCGGGCAGCCCAGGCAGCAGCGGTCGCAACGCCAGTGCAGCCTCAGGGCCAGATCATGGACTTGGACGCCATGGACGATTAAACCTCGATGATGGGTCGCCTTTGCCACCCAGGTCGCCGATGATCCTCCACCGGGACTACCACAGCAAGGCCAGTTGAGCGGAGCAAGTTCGTAGACCCCACCCCCACCGTCAAGGCCGATCCTGGCTGCTGGTCGCTTGCTAGTTCGTTTGCGCCTCCTGTGAAGCCTTTGTCTTCGTGTGCTTACGCAGTTCGACATGGCTACGAGCCAACCAAGCTCGAGACTTCAGTTCGCCACCGTCCGGAAGGGAAGAGTGGACAAAAGAGTGAATCCGTGCTACTGCACTCAAGCTTGGTGTAGCTGAGCTTGTGTCCATCAGCTTCGTGCATCCTTCAATAAATCCGTGCTCTTGATTGTTCAGGGGGGGCCCCCTCCCCCCCTTTCTAGAAGTAGCAAGCCTCGGACAGCATGGCTTGATTAATTTGAAGGGACGCTCCGGGGAGCCAGCAGCCCGTATGCGGCAGCCAGCACTGCCAGCAGGCAGCAGTCGCGGACACGTAAAAAGACTTGGTATTGGCTTAGTAGTAGATGTAGTAGTAGTAGTA